TGAACTAGGCTCATGAGTTGGACATGAACCTACGGAACTGGGGTGAAAAACTCCATATTCCCAATACCCAATCCCAGAATCCATCAAAAAAAATTGTTTTTCAAACAAATGTCTTTCCACTCTTTTATACTGCTTCTCAAAATTGCTTATAGCTGGTAAGTCTGTTGATGAAGCTTTATTAATGAGAAAGTATTATATAAAACCTAAGAGTTGCTTTTAATCCACTGAAAAGGACTCTTCTCTATACAGCACCAGTAACTTCAATGTGGCTCACTGTGATAATTTAAAATACAGCCATGAGGAGTACTCTAGTTCACATGAAGTCACCTTCAACTTGTCTATTAATTCTCTAACTTACTGCACTTTTAATCTAATTCTGTAATTCAGGTGATGCTAGGGTTCAACTTTGACTCACTGCAGACCTACATTACCGCTTCACTGTTATCAAGTTTCACGAACACTGCAGCAATCTGATCTGATCTTAACCACCTTGAAAAACCTCCTATAGGTTTTAAATGGCTGCTGGTATTGACCATGCTGAACAACGAGAATAAAATATATAAAAGTGGAATGAAAACCAATGCTCCATTCCTTAAAAACTTGCTCTTTCAAACTGCTGATCTATCACCCCAGAAATAAATAGCATAATAAAGCACTACACCACTTTCTTTAATAAAGTCTAAAAATATTGACAATTGTGAATGTAATGTTCTAGCAGGGAGCCGGACACCTATTCCTCATTCTACTTCTGACCCACTGGCATGATTCTAGACAATTAACCTGCCAATGTTTCAGTTTCCTCATCTACGTGAGTACAATCTAACATATCAGTCTCATCAGACATTACAAAGGTTAAAGTGTTTGCAAAAGCACCTCATGAGCTTCAGCTAACCATTTTGGGATAGCTGAAATCTGCTCAAATTTCACCTTAATTCTTGTAGCCTGAGGGTCTGTGCAATCATCAAAACGAATACAATATCCAACGTCATGACCCAGCATAGCGCCTCTTTCCTCAGCCACTCGGCCTGCAACCTAAAAGAAAATACAACATACAAGGAACAGACACACAGTAATAAGGAAGATAGTTTATCACAAACTTCTTTGATATCAGTGTTTAGGAACAGCTAAAGGAGTTGTGTAATAAGAAAACAATGGTCTTTACACTGAATTGATCCTGATGCACTAAGAAAATTCACTCTCTATAGCAGCATGGTTAATGTCCTATAGTTTTAAAAAATAAAGCATTTTGATACAACTGATAAATAGGACATTTTAGCAGTTCCAAAATAAAAGAACACCTCCTGAGAAAATAGAACAAATGCTCACAGTAAATTAAATGACAGCAAAAACAACAAGCATCAGGACAATTTATCTCTGTTTCTACTTCAGAAAGCTAAGGAGTTGGCTGGCTGTGACAGAGGACACAGACTGTGGGAAAGGCTAAAACTGGAAAGAGAGTTTCTCAAAGCACCCAGACAGCTGACAGAAGGATAGAGTAAAAACACACAGAGGCATTTATTAACCCTCTGAGGTAGAGACTTCCCCAACCAGTCTCTCAGCAGCCAGAATACATAGAAAGGATTTCATTGAACTATTTTACCTTGAGTAATCTGGAACTTCTATTGATGGGTGCTAGGAAAAGGTGAGTCAAACTTACAGGGTTTAATTCTCAACTGTATATACTTTGGTAACTGCACCATTGTTAAAAATTGCCTGTGCCCCTGAGATTATGGCTTTCTATAAGCCAATTTAAAATAAGCGCACTAAAGAAGTGGGGAGGGGAAGAATAGCCTGTGCTAAATAAAAGAAAAAATACCCTTAAACATTTGAAATCGAGTTTTTAGAAGTTAATTCAAGAGACTATATTAATCCAAATGCTGGCCATGAAACACTGACAAAGTTATCACCTGCAAAATCAAATGCATGCAAATGACATTGTTAGTGTCATTTTATGTGAAGACCAATGTTTTATTTTTGCAAACATGCTGAATCAATTTACACCTTCTCTGTGCCGCATAGACATTTATCATCTATGAAACAGTCTCAGCTCCAGCTGAATTTCTTGTTGGGGAAGAGGGAAATTTCCATTTGTAGCAGCATTTATGGCTGTTCGAACAGCCTTTTCTAAACAATAATTATAAAACCAGCATTCACCTGCTGGCACAGTTATCCCAGTAGTAATATATTTTTGTTTCCCATTCAAAAATAGCATCCAAGTTGCCAGCAATATTAAGAATCAAGAGACTAAATGTGGATATGTGCATAGAGAAGGTGACCATGTTCTACTGAGAAATTATATTCAATTGCTGAGCTAAATTGACCCAAAAAACAAGAAGTGGTGGAATATTTGCTTCTGATATCTAACTTTTTGCTAAAGAAGACAGTAGACATTAAGAATCAAACTAAAAATCTCCCACTGCTGATGTAAGGTGCAAATATTTAGCAGAGAAATGGAGAGAAATTTGCTCTTTAAATCAAAATTTTCAACATACTGAACCACCAAATCAAGAGACGAAAGCTTCAAACTTGATTAAGCAGATGCTATTATGTTGGCCAGAATGTATTACTAGAGAGTAGAACAGAAAGTTCAGCAAAAGAAAACCTGTATTTAAAAACTAAAGCCACTGCAAAAGGGACAAACATGGATGTTTGTTCTATTAAGTTTGTCAGCAGTATGCTGTTTTCAGTTGCATATAAATAATCCTCTTTTAAATTGTTTTGACAGGTTGTTTTTTTTAAATAATCTGCACAGGCATACTTTGGTCTCTTCCCTGCACTCATGAACCTATCTCCTTCATGCTGACCTGTCTGCTATTTCCATTAGGCATTCTTCCATGAATTCCTTCATGAACCCAGGATTTCAAACACAAACTTCTTGGCACTATTCCTCACACAACACAAGTAAATACCTCTACATTTCAGGTTGGTTAATTCAGCACAGCTTGCAGGAGTTTATATCATTGCAACTGCCTCTTTCCCCTTTTGATGACCTCCATCCTTTACTGGATTATAGCAGATGAATAGTCTGCTTTATCAAAAGTCAATTTCAATTAGTCAAAGTAATAAATTAAATAACATGCTTCCCATCTCTCTACATTGGCCATGAATTCCCAGAGAAATCACAAGCGTGTTCCCACAGCAAGCAAGATTCCTCCATGGCCATATACTTAGCTTTAAGCTAAAAAGCTGAAATGTCTTGATTTAAAACAGACCCAAGTCAAATTGGAGAGTAAACACACAAAGTTCGTGCAAGTTTCTGCATTTTATATAGTACCTCAGGTACTGCACTGCACAGGCAATTAGGCATATTATTGAAGATAAGAACGGAGAAGAGCTAAAGGAAAAGATCACTCAAGCATTAGATTCCAGTCCTTCATGATGGATGGTAGACAAAAGACCATGACAAACAAAAGATCAGCAATCCAGCTTGACATGGAAAGAGGAATCTACCAAGTGTTTATTTTTCCAGAGGTCCAGGCTCGTGAACTATATGTACAACAAATTTACAGTGTAATGGATAACATAGGTATTAGGTACAATATGTACATAAAATGTACTATAACAAGGGACAGGTTGAGTATGGCAGAGAAAGTTGCACAAAATGGTCAAGAGTCACAAAGTTATTTGGGGCAAAAGTTGAATGCTACAACGGACTGAAACTTAAACCCATGAGCTAAATCTCAGCAATGAAGAGAACAACATAGAAAGAATCAGTATGATGAACAGGTTAGCAGAGAACACTAATACAATAGGACAACAAATTAGACAAGGGGTACTAGACACACAATCAGATCACAATCTTCCTTCTATTCCATTATGTCATACAAACACTTTTCTACCACCACTTACTTTTTTGGGTGTTTAAAGACCATGAGGAATTAATAATGGTCTCATTCACAAACAAAGCACAGCACCAGCTTCCTATACACAACTCAGCAGATGTCCCTCAGTTCTAGCTCATAAGATCTACTTTTGCCATTCCAGATCTGACAACCTCTTTGGCAATGCCTGCTAGTCAGGTTGAACTGAACCACACACTATCATGCCAGGAATTGCAATAATAAAAGTAGAGATTTGCGTTTACAAATGAATCCCCATTCCAATTAGAGAGAAACAATTAGTAAATTAACCTACATCAGTATGTAGACCGGGGCAGGCAATTATTTCTGGTGGATGGCCACTTAACAAGGTTTGGTGAGCTGTTGACACAAGGGTAGCCCTGCCCCTTGACAGGTGCCCCACACCCTGGCTGCCCTCTTGGAATCAAAAGTCCTACCCCCTAACATCTGACCTTTGCCACTAGAAGTGGTTCCCCTTGTCCCCAAGAACTACTCCTTTTGGGAAGGGGGTTTGCCATCTTGGAACCGGAAAAAAAACAAATTAGATACCTAAAAATCAAACACTGACAATAACATATTTTAATTTATTTTGTTTTAATATTTTTGTCCTGATTTGTGTGTTTGTATTGTATATATACAGAAGTGATAGCATAATAGCTCAAAATGAAATCTTACTCTTATAAACTGGGGGGGGGTGC